TCCACTGTATGGAATAGGAGGTAATCAGGTTTGATCCAAGGAAGGGAAGGGTGGCTCCAATTCCTTAGATCACGAGCCCTTCAGCATCATTGATTACTACATTGCGTGTTTTATTCTCAGAGGAATGTGAGGAGAAATCAGTGATGGCTTGGTTGTTATCCTCAGATGTGCCTGGTTTGGTGGGTACGCCCAAGGCACGAGATGTGGGTAAGAACTGGGTGTCACTACACTGGAGTAAACCCGAACACTCTGGCGGTGTTATCGTCACTGCTTACAAGGTGGAGGCTTGGATCCTGGGAGAGGAGGCGCGCTGGCAAGAGGTACGTAGTTCAGAAAAGACACTTAACGTGTCAGAAGACAGTGTGCCAATACTGATTCACGAATAAGACCTTATGCCAAACTTGCACAGTGAAAAATTAAATGCATGATAATTTCATTTGTTCATATTAGGGATGTGTCAAACTATCGGTATCGGCCATTTTTGCGGTACCGGTATCGATACCAGCCGATACTTTTTAAAATATTACTGTGGTTAAAAATATCAACGCTTACACTCTTCCTCACGATTGTGAAGCTTTAGTCACACACACACACACACACACACACACACACACACACACAATATCAACACCAGGCCAGGTAATGAGTAATGACAGCACCATGTCAGAGAAATTAAGTTATTTAATATTTAATCTTTTTTCCAACAAGTCGGCCGCCTCCCACCGAGGCAGGGCAACCCAAAAAGAAAGAAAAATCCCCAAAAAGAAAATACTTTCACCATCATTCAACACTTTCACCTCACTCATACATCACTGTTTTTGCAGAGGCGCCCAGATGCAACAATTTGGAAGGATCTGTAAAGATATATAATATATCTCTCCAAACTGCCAATATCCAAACCCATCCAAAGGCATTGTACTTTAATCTTCTTGTGTTATTTATTATCCATTGTGCAATAAGTTTTCCCTCATATTTTAAATATAGTCACTATAATATTATAAATGAACGAATCAAATCACAGAACGGGTGGTTAACACTGACCTGACACTTGCCATGGCTTCAAGCTCCACTCATTCCATGATTTGTTTTCAATTGTTCATATATAATATTCAGAGGGACTACTCCCTGTGTGTGAACTCACGAAGGCATTTGGGATTTTCTCTCATTTTATTTTGAGTATGTTTTTTTGCAAAATTGCCTTTCACGCTTTTTAAAGTGATTTCTTACCATAATATATATTATTCAGAAGTGTATCGAGAATGCTAAACATATTTTTGTATGATTTGCGTCTTCAGCAAGCTGAATTATTTCCTCTTCCATCAGCTCGGTGTGTCTCCGATCGCATCATTCGACGTATACAACTTGAAGCCGGATCGTGAGTATCTGTTCCGTGTGACACCCAGAAACAAGTACGGCTGGGGCGAAGCTGTCATGACCCCTCGTCCCATTAGAGTGGGACGCAAGATGGAGCATCCCAACCTGCCCAAGGCTCTTCCGCACCAAGTCCGCGCCATGCCTGGGGGGCATATCTCTCTTGACGCACAGGTGCTGACCTTCTTTTAATGTGCTTCACTTGAAACATCTTGTTGATAATATGTTTATTCTGGTGAAAATATATATTCGTATAGGATATCTTAAAATTATCTTGCGACTGTGAACATTTACTTGCTGATCCATTTATAATAATACAATGATATATCATCTTTCATGGGGTATAGATAACTGGTGAGCCCATGCCGGAGATCCGCTGGTATAAAGACGGCACCTATATAGACGTCAACCGTTACCCAAGGTTCTCGTCCATTTCAAGCGAGAGCTCGGTAAGTACTCTTATCAGCCTCTGTAAAGGACAAGAGAGTTTAAAGCTTGTCGTATTACAGTGAGGCCATGACTAGCCTTGTGACTTCCTTGAAACAACTAGCTAATCACACTTAGTGCCAATACAATAACTTGATAAGTGTTTGAAATTTACAGTAACTGCATGATATTTGAACGATGTTTCTTTATAAATTTTCTTTATATTTACAATTACTTTTGACAGTGAAAATCGTCAATTAAGACGAATAAATTTTTTTAGTAGGCTTGAAAACACAGTGAACGATGACGGAACCAGTGCCGGTGGGTTGGTTTGTACCAAAAAAATAACGTGGAATGCATTTGGTAATAAAGACATTGATTGAACTGAAGTCTTTTACTGGCACAACGTTTTATTCACGGGGGGGGGGGGGCTTCCTGTGAAATGTACCAGTAAAGAATTTCACATCAATTAATCTTTATTACCACATTGCGTTACGCCACTTGTTTACACTATGGAATTTATCTGATGGAAATAATTTATATTTTTTTGCTGGAATATTTTATTAGTTTTTCATGAATGCTTAGAATATCTCGAAGTATAACAGAGAATATGGCAGTTTTGCAGGTTTTCTTATATGGTTAGAGAGACAAATAGAAGTAATCCTAAACATTTTTTTTTCTAATCTTTCATATCTGGTAACATTTTTCACATCCTCCGCCTTTTTAGCTTAGAGTTTTTATGACTAAAATAATAATACCGTGTTATTCTGTGTTGACTTCGCGATATTAGAAGTACACACTATTGTTTTGATTTATTAATATATAGATAAAAGATTTCGTAAGCCGAGAGGCAGCTTGGAAGACTGTGTTTGCAGAGAAACACCCCTCAAGGGAGCTTCCTTGACGCTGGTGAGGGGCTCTTGATCTACGGAATTGTATCTGTGCTCCAGTTCCCTGAATTAAGCTTGATTACCTTCCATCCCCCCAGGGACTGTATATCCTACGGGTTTATCGCTTCCCCATGATTAAAATAATTGCAGAGAATCTATTATACAACCACGGCTCGTCCACGACTGTACTTGATCAAATCTAGTCCTACACAAAACATTGTCTTTCTGACTGCTTTACTAATATGCGGCTGAGAGTTCTAGGTCGGAGAGCAGTTGCTAGTGATGTTTATTCGTTATTATTATTATTATTATTATCATGAGGAGCGCTCATGGGGAGTGATGGAAGGTATTCAGGCTCAATTCAGGGAACCGGAGCACAGATCCAATTCCCTAGATCAAGAGCCCCTCACAAGCGTCAAGGAACCTCACTAGATGGGTTATTCGGTTGGAAACATGATAATGTGTCCTCACACGAGCCTTTAACCAAATAATGGCAAGTTAACTGGTTAAATACCTGTATGCCTACCAGAACTAGATTTTGAATCCATTGAAAAAATAAAGGATCACCACATAGTAGTGTATCGTAAAGATGATACCCTCTTGAGTACCCAAAACATAATATTTTGTTAAATTTTAAAGTAAACGTACAATATTCAGTAACTTGAGGATAAGAAGGTCGTCATCAGGTGCCTCACAAGCTGTACACGCACTTAACGATAAGGGATTTTTTGCTTTAAGAAATGTCTTGAGAACAGTTATAGAATGGCCAATGAAACTGAGAATGTCAGACCATTGCTCCATGATATTCTGAAAAAAGGATGCAACTACTGGTTGTGATAGTTACTTAGTTCGGCAGGGAAGCTCATTCCACTACTCTCTTGATATTGTCCCGTGGAAACCTAAAACCACCGCTTTATAATACAGTTTACTTAGCTCAGAGTGCAAACCCTAACCAATGTTCCCGTGATACTACCCTGGGTAAAGGCTGAAATCCCTGCTTGAAGACACAAGAAAAAAATCACAACTACACTTGCTTTAGTTACAGTTATTATGTAGTAAATCTCCATCTTTCCCTCTCCATCCTTTCCCCTTCCCTTTAGGAGTTGTTTCCCCATTGACCTTCCTCTAATACCGCAGAGGATTTGTTTTTCTTTTCCACTGGTGACTTTTTGTTTTTATCACCTCTGCACCTCCCTTGCCTCCTGACCCGGCCTTGATGTACGGCGCTGGTGACATTCGTGGCGGGTGTGACGTTGGTTGCTTTCCCACGGCAGATACACAACGTGTTTGGTCTAGTGAGCAAGGTAGTGTGTTCCCGTGCCTGATGCCGGGGCTTTGCTCGCTCTCCACCTGTCTGTTTTATCTCTGCTTATCTTACGTTACACGTCAGCATTCATTATTTTATGTTTGCTGTATCATACGTTGCTTGATATTTTGAGTTACTTATTATATTATATAACTCTTATTTTACGTTGCTTTTTATCTTCGGCTATTACCATTCAGTGCTTGTTATTTTACGTTATTTATCTTGCATTGTTTGTTTTATTTTGCATGTTATTTTTTCTCTGTTATACCTTGATTATTACTTTACTTTTTATATTATTCTACGTTTCTTATTAGTCTACGTTTCTCATTATTCTACGATTCTTATCATTCTACGTTTCTTATTATTTACGTTTTCTTCGTTTATTTAATAATACATCAAACAACTCTCCAGACGGGAAAGTTTTATTGAGTTTTCTTGTGCGTATTTTTGTTCTTTAATTTGCTTGAGACAAAATATATAATTTTTTCCTTCTAACCTCCACTCATATAATTTATGCATTTTCCCTTGCTATTATTATTTTTGACGTTAAAATGCTTTGTTAATTAATGTTCTGTGTAACTTATCGTTAAATCAAACTTGAGTGATAGATTGGTATATGATCCATATGGATTTAGCGCTTTAAGTGGAATAAAATAATAATGTATTAGATATATTCATCTTTAATGTGTGGAGTGGATGGCAGGGATTTATCTCAAATTTATGGTTTAATGGCAGGGATTTATCCCCCCTCCTCTTTGAAGGGCCTGACTTGCTGTATTTAATGTGAAAAGCTAAACCTGTGAGGTATCATTCAGTGTAAGGCATGGTGGAGGCTTGGTCCTCCGTCAGCTCAACTAGGGACCAAAAAAGAAAGTGTACGTTTCGGTTCTTTCTGGACGTTGTCAGTGATGTGACATTTTGTTGTCTGTTCTGACCGGTGAGTCTGAGGATCGCAGACATTGTTAGTGATATAATGTTTTGTTGTATACTGTGACAGGTGAGCCTGAGGATCGCAGACCTGCAGTGGGAGGACGAGGGTAAATACGAGCTGGAGGTGGTGAACCCTGGCGGCCGCGTCACCTCTTACACCGAGTCACAGCCACCAGCGACTGCTCTGTGCTAGAGGCCCAGGACCGCATCAACAGGTTGGTCTCTCTCTCTCTCTCTCTCTCTCTCTCTCTCTCTCTCTCTCGCCAGTAGCATACACTAGTTGTCTGTCATTCAGAAGATCATATAAAACCAGACCTGTGTGTTGTTATCTTATGGAGCATAGCTAGCTTTTATTAACACCGTAGGTGTTATCACCATGTAACTCATATAGAACAGGGTTGTTCCAGTGTATACAAATGTGTTACATAAACCATGGTATCATGCAGTAACCTGCTGGCGCTATCACGGCTGGACAACGTAGCCTGCATGGCACCACAGTTCACCATGCGTCTGAGGGATCGTCGGGTACAAGTGGGCTTCCCAGTCCGCCTCACTTGTCAAATCGTGGGCATCCCCAAGCCCCAGGTGTCGTGGTACAAAGATGATGAGCCCATGCCTCCTGATGGTGAGCACTCTTCCTCTGTGTTTGTTCTGATATTGTGAAGGTGTGTATGAATAGTGTATATATAAGATATATATATATATATATATATATATATATATATATATATATATATATATATATATATATAATATATATATATATATAATATATATATATATATATTATTTTTTTTTTTTTTTTTTTTTTTTTTTTTCAACAAGTCGGCCGTCTCCCACCGAGGCAGGGTGACCCAAAAAAGAAAGAAAATCCCCAAAAAGAAAATACTTTCATCATCATTCAACACTTTCACCACACTCGCACATTATCACTGTTTTTGCAGAGGTGCTCAGAATACAACAGTCTAGAAGCATACACATATAAAGATACACAACATATCCCTCCAAACTGCCAATATCCCAAACCCCTCCTTTAAAGTGCAGGCATTGTACTTCCCATTTCCAGGACTCAAGTCCGACTATATGAAAATAACCGGTTTCCCTGAATCCTTCACTAAATATTACCCTGCTCCACTCCACAGATCGTCAGGTCCCAAGTACCATTTCTCCATTCACTCCTATCTAACACGCTCACGCACGCTTGCTGGAAGTTCAAAGCTCCTTACCCACAAAACCTGTTACCCCCTCCTCCACCCTATCGGGACGACCTACACCGCCTTCATCCCCATAGATTACTATGCTTTCCATGTCGATCTACGTTGATCCTTCTCTAAATGCCAAACCACTCAACAACCCCTCTTCTGCCCCTGACTATACTTTTATAACTCCACACCTTCTCCTAATTTAGCACTCGAATTTTCTGCTTTTAATATTTACACCACACTTGCCTATAATATGATAATATATAAATATATATATATATTTTTATATAAAATATTATTACTACATATACAATAATAATAAATAGAAAATCTCCAAAAGACTTTCAGTCAGAATCCAAACTTTCTACCTTGAACCTTTTATCCACTTCTTCGAGGATATGGGTCCAACAGTTAACACCAGAGTGGACCCCATTATCCCTATATATAATATATCAATATCTTTAAAGTAGCATTTATATTATATTGAGGCCCGGCCGACTTGTTGAAAAAATATAGTTATCATGAATCTATATATATATATATATTATATAATATATATAGTATATATCATATAATAATTTTTATTTATTATTATTTATTTATATATATATATATATCACACTGGCCGATTCCCATCAAGGCAGGGTGGCCCGAAAAAGAAAAACTTTCACCATCATTCACTCCATCACTGTCTTTCCAGAAGGGTGCTTTACACTACAGTTTTTAAACTGCAACATTAACACCCCTCCTTCAGAGTGCAGGCCCTGTACTTCCCATCTCCAGGACTCAAGTCCGGCCTGCCGGTTTCCCTGAACCCCTTCATAAATGTTACTTTGCTCACACTCCAACAGCACGTCAAGTATTAAAAACCATTTGTCTCCATTCACTCCTATCAAACACGCTCACGCATGCCTGCTGGAAGTCCAAGCCCCTCGCACACAAAACCTCCTTTACCCCCTCCCTCCAACCTTTCCTAGGCCGACCCCTACCCCGCCTTCCTTCCACTACAGACTGATACACTCTTGAAGTCATTCTGTTTCGCTCCATTCTCTCTACATGTCCGAACCACCTCAACAACACTTCCTAAGCCCTCTGGACAACAGTTTTGGTAATCCCGCACCTCCTCCTAACTTCCAAACTACGAATTCTCTGCATTATATTCACACCACACATTGCCCTCAGACATGACATCTCCACTGCCTCCAGCCTTCTCCTCGCTGCAACATTCATCACCCATGCTTCACACCCATATAAGAGCGTTGGTAAAACTATACTCTCATACATTCCCCTCTTTGCCTCCAAGGACAAAGTTCTTTGTCTCCACAGACTCCTAAGTGCACCACTCACCCTTTTCCCCCTCATCAATTCTATGATTCACCTCATCTTTCATATATATATATTTTTTTTTCAACAAGTCGGCCGTCTCCCACCGAGGCAGGGTGACCCAAAAAAGAACGAAAATCCCCAAAAAGAAAATACTCTCATCATCATTCAACACTTTCACCACACTCGCACATTATTACTGTTTTTGCAGAGGTGCTCAGAATACAACAGTTTAGAAGCATACACATATAAAGATACACAACATATCCCTCCAAACTGCCAATATATATATATAATATATATATATATATATATATATATATATATATATATATATATATATATATATATATATATATAATATATATATATATATATATATATATATATATATATATATATATATATATAGGGTGTGTAAAGGTAGAAAGTTGAAAGTGAACATAGATAAGAGTAAGGTGATGAGGGTATCAAATGATTTAGATAAAGAAAAATTGGATATCCCATTGGAGAGAGGGAGTATGGAAGAAGTGATGTTTTCAGATATTTGGGAGTTGACGTGTCAGCGGATGGATTTATGAAGCACGAGGTTAACCACAGAACTGATAACCATAGAACTGATGAAGGAAAAAATGCGAGTGGTGCGTTGAGGTATATGTGGAGACAAAAAACGTTATCTATGGAGGCAAAGAAGGGAATGTATGAAAGCACATGTATATATATGCAAGAATCGCGAACAAGCGACACAGGATGCAAAGCAACCACAGGGGAGTTCAATAATAGCTCAGGGCCTTTCGTGCTTCAAATCAACACATCATCACGAGCTTGCAAAGTTGCAGAAATGAGTAAGAAATCTTCAAGATTCATCAAGACTAGGTGCTGAACACTGCATTCCAGATGGAGGGACTGATTACCGCGTCTACTGTCTCTGCATATCTTTGTATTGAATTGATAAATCCACTGGTTGGCGGAACGTCTTCAGATAAGAGTACCCAGGTGTTGCACATGTTTCTAATCCCTCGTCGATTTTTTTTTTAGACCTGGTCACCAGCGTGTGAGACCTCTACCCACTCTACCGGAGGTATCCCAGCGAGTGAGCACGTCTCCTGTATATCCCAGTGCTTAACAAAATAGGGAATAGCATATGAAGGTACAAATAAAAATGGGAACTATGGCTATAGTTTACTTAATAACATAAAAGGGCTAGAATACAACATATCCTGATGGAAATTTACACAATATAACAATTGACCTATGAGACTTATTACCAGGGGGAAGGGTAGATGTTATCAGTAACACGGACTAGTACTCACTCTTAATTCACCGACCAGCTGACCCGAGATTCCCAAATGCGTGGTCCACTACACACGCGGCTGTCCAGAGCTCTCGCTCGACGGACCTGTCACCAACAACCCCTTTGCCCCGCTGTTCCCTGGGCTTATATCGTAGTCAAAGTACCCCCTCCTCAATGGTGTATGTACCACGTGTTACGACCTGACGCCGAGGTCTGACGCTGTTAAGAACAAAAGACCTCAGACGTGGGCGTGACTACCCGACATTTGCTAAGGCAGGTGTGACCATATAATTAGGTCTCCCTAGAGACCTCACAAGCCCATCTAAAACTGCATCACATCCCCCTTTCTCCCCCCAATTTAAAATATCTGAGAACTAGGACAATTTGCCCTAAGTTTATTAGACTATTTTAATCCTAACCCTTTTATTCTATTACAATACAATAGCAAATAATATGAATTCACACAGATCAGTAGGTTTAATAAATTCTAGCACAAGAAACGAATAACAATGACTCTGGTGCGAAACCTCCTTATCCGTCATGTCTCCTTAAAACTAAATATCGGGCTCCAGTGCCTTCCTGTACTCTACTAGAAATAAACTAGCTCCCGTAGTCACCCTCGCTAATTAACCATTGAGCCAAACCTCGTAAGGTTTTCCTGGCGTAGAAAACAGCTCCACGGGTATTATTCCTTCAAGTACTTGCAACTGAACCATTACACGACCACAATGTCGCATTTTCCTTTGCACCCTACCATGACCATTCATGACAAGGCAGGAATCGCAACCAGGACCAATCATTATCCCATTTCTAGGAACTAAAAGAAAACCTCCCATCCCTCACATAAAGGAATCCTCTTCTGACGGCGAGCCGATTGGTGTTTACAGTTCTCCACCTGAAAAGAAAATACATCCTATCTCTACGGTGATCTCTCCCGGCAAGGAGCTAGCTCACATAATATACAACACATATTTGTCCCAACAGCTGACATAACATAGGGAAATCCCCTAGCAGTAGAGATACCATACTAATACCACTCTAATCATCATTTCCCAAGCTTCACTGGGCTAGTAGTAAATGACACGGTTGGCTTGACTTGGGGCCATGCTATTGACCCAGGAGAAGCTCTCTACAAATCCTTGGGCAGAAATATGAAGGGGTCGACGGAGGGGACATAGGGCCATTGCAGTATTCTTGTCATCTCACCTCCAGATCTGTCTACTGCTTCTACTAGAAGAGGGGTTAGCCAGAGCTTCTGGCCGACCCTAGCACTTCCTAAATTGGGCCATGTCTCTTTGGGTGTGGACTTCGTTGGCGTTTAGGAACTCTCATGCGGGTCCCTCTCGTTGAAAAGCACAGCATCTGGGAATTTCACGACTCAGCAAGCAGCTTATCTTCACCACGACAATACTCCTCAGGCACCAAGGCCACCCTTCATCCGTCCAGCCTCACCCGTCAACTTCCACCTCTTGCATGGTGGTGGCACGAGAGCTGGCTACCGCTTTTCCTCAAGTCTCCCAGGTCTAATAATAGCCCTTTTGGCTGGACCCAAACTGACTTCTTGCACTTCTGCGTCTCCATCACTCCAGGCCAAAATAGATTCCTGGAGTCTCCTTGGCAGATCCTGGCAACATCTCCACATCTCCTGTGAATAATAGTAGACGGCAGTATTGTTCTATAGGTGACTGGGGCTTATTGTTGGTGGGCAGGTCTCTAGAGTATTGAGCCGACCTGAGGGCGAGGCGAGTGGTCAGCTCCTTCCCTCAGGGTCCCATTTACTCACAACACTCCCTCCCTCCAGCAATAATTCCCTTACAAATTTCGTCTATACATTCTTGACCTTGTATTCATACCAACATTTTCCATTTACTCTTATTTTAATCATAGGTCTTTCATCTTTGGTAACAAGGTTATCAGACCTATCTTTCTTAACCTTGTACCTTCTTTCGTTAGGAACGAAAATTAGGGCACTTGGTCCCTAATATGGCCAATCCCGCCACACTCCCAGCATTGATTAGTTCTCCGAGCATTCTGTTTATTACGCCCACCACCGCCTGTCCTGCGGTGCGGGGGTATATACTTCTTCTCATTATTGGTTGTCGCCACATATGGTGACTCAGGTGTTACTCTCTCTGAGGCAACAATTCTATCTCCCTTTCTGTCTCTACCATATTCGGACTCGAGAGACATGGCATATTGAACTAGTTCTTGGAAGGTTTTAATCGCTAGTACCATAGCAACTCTAGTTCTCATCCAGACTGGCAACCCTTCACAAAATACCTGCTTTTTATAAAGCCCAGCTGTTCTGCATTATATTTTAAAGTTCCGTTCACATCTTCCACCCTGGACCATACCAGACAACTGAAGTCCCTTAGAGTGTGTCCCTCCTTCAGTTGCAATTGTTCCAGGTATCGATGGATATTTTCAACTGATACTGCCGTCTGGAACCTATATCTTATAGCATCCTTGAAATTACTCCAGTTCTTTACGTTAATAAATTGTGGGAGACTAAATATGGATGCTGTGTTATCTACAATTGCCCTGAATCCCAGTGAAACTTTCATTTTTTCATCAGATATATTAAGCAAAATGGCCTCAATATTTTTAATCCAAGCTTCTACTTTGATATTTCTTTCGATGGGATTCCTCGGCAAATCTTCTACATGAAATTTCGGCAAATTTTCTAAATATGGCCTATCAACAATTACTGTCCCACACATAGAGGTTCCAACACTACTATCTGGAGCTGATGCCCCAGATAAAATCTTTTGCTGAAGCATAGGGTTCGTTGGGACGTTGAGTGGCTTGGTTAGGAAGGATTGACCTGGGAAGGCTGGAGGCTCAGAAGTTGGGGTTGGGTCGGGAGTCCCGGTATATTAGATAAGGACCCATTCGGGGAAATACTGAATGGTTCCCCAGCTGTAGTTACACGTGTGGGTGTTTGGTTAGTATTTACAGGAACAGCATTGGGCAGGTGAACACCTGACACAGCAGGGGAAGCTATGGTTACTGAGGGGTTAGGTATACTAGTAACTATAGAACCAGGCACAGAAGTGGGAACCCTAGAGGCAGCTACCCCAGGGACTTGGGGAGCAGGTACAACAATAGGGGATTGAGGGTTACTCATAACTTGAGCAATAACACTATGAAGCACAGAGTTAAGATAAGGATACATACTATAGTCAGCATTAACTGGGTTATTAAAATACGGAGGTATGGGGTTAGTAGCATCCCGGGTTGGTAAAGTTGATACTCCCGGGCTAACAGCAGTGGTAGATGTATTAGATACCACTGGGGCCATAGTATTCGTGGTACTACTGGGGGTCACCGTGGAACCTATATTCGTTCCTGAGCCTTGGACCTGGGGATGGTTTGTCCCTGACATATGTACCCCTGAAGTATTATTTATCACTGAAATCTCATTTTCTTGATTATTTATACCCTCACTAACATTAATCACTGAATCTTGCTGTGGAACCATGTTGCTAGACCCTTCACTTGAGCCTGGTGCGAGATCACTAACATTGACGTTAGCCTCTGCCATTCTGTTCACGAGGAACTTCACCTGTATCCTACTGGATCGTCTGATTGCACTATTTAACGTCTTGCTACGCAAATTATATTTGGTCATCACTCACCTGACAAACATAAGAGTAGGATTGTCCTGGTTTATTCTTAAGGTTACGGTCACAGTGAACGGTAAAACAAATGATAGGCGACACAAAGAAATTAATATTTGGTTTTGATAGCAAAAACCGACCAGTCGTAAAGCACGTGAGCCGCGTTTAATGATAAACGCTAAACCGATAAACCGCTGCCACCATGTGAGACCTCTACCCACTCTACCGGAGGTATCCCAGCGAGTGAGCACGTCTCCTGTATATCCCAGTGCTTAACAAAATAGGGAATAGCATATGAAGTACAAATAAAAATGGGAACTATGGCTATAGTTTACTTAATAACATAAAAGGGCTAGAATACAACATATCCTGATGGAAATTTACACAATATAACAATTGACCTATGAGACTTATTACCAGGGGGAAGGGTAGATGTTATCAGTAACACGGACTAGTACTCACTCTTAATTCACCGACCAGCTGACCCGAGATTCCCAAATGCGTGGTCCACTACACACGCGGCTGTCCAGAGCTCTCGCTCGACGGACCTGTCACCAACAACCCCTTTGCCCCGCTGTTCCCTGGGCTTATATCGTAGTCAAAGTACCCCCTCCCCAATGGTGTATGTACCACGTGTTATGACCTGACGCCGAGGTCTGACGCTGTTAAGAACAAAAGACCTCAGACGTGGGCGTGACTACCCGACATTTGCTAAGGCAGGTGTGACCATATAATTAGGTCTCCCTAGAGACCTCACAAGCCCATCTGAACTGCATCACAAGCGCTGGCTGGAGACTTACAACTAAATGCATATAGAGTTTTGGGAAGGAGAGGCGATGGAAGAACATAACCGGGTCAGGGATCAAGCTAGGTCGTGAAGGTTAGGTGCAGTGATTATAAAAGTATGGGTTAATTTGAGTTGTTTGTGCCACCAGATGCGCACACCATGTGGCAGGAGGATGGTCATTTCTACACTCTAGAGATCTCCAGCTCGACCCACGACGATGCTGCTGTTTACTCAGCCAGCGCCGTCAACCCCTTTGGCTCCGTGCTCTGCCGCTGCCGCCTCATAGTTGATTCTGGACTCAGGTATGTCACGCGCACTCTCCATAATTTGTAACCTGAAACTAGGTCGCATCCTGGGACAAAATTGACATAATTTGCCCGAAATGCTGTGCATAACCAGGGGCTCTGTATATAGCATGTCATTGATGTCACCTAGAACGGTATACCTCGTACATGTAATTTTAGAAATAAAAATTATTATTATTATTATTATTATTATTATTATTATTATTATACATGTGCATACAGTAATAATCACTCTGGCATTTATTATGGTTCTTTTTTTTTTCATTTTTCCTGTGTAATTGATAGTGGTAATCTAATATTGAAGTATATATTTGCTTCAGGGCTGGGTTAAAGAGGGTTACACCCACTCAAGAGATCATATAAGGGGCTAACTCCCCATAGAAAGGGGGCTTCCACAAAACAGAGTTCTAGGGGCAATCTGGACGCATAAGATACTCTAAAGGATTATTGATACACACTGACCAGCATGCGCGCGTACATTATATAATACTAATATAAATTTGTCATTAAAGTTTTACCTTCTGTGAGGGGCCTCTCTCACAACTGCTAGTACAGTAGACCGTCATTTAACACGGTAGTTACGTTCCTGAAAACACCGTGTGAGGTAAAACCGTGTGAGATGAACTGAAGAACTTATGGGAAAAATAGGGATACGTTCCTAAGAGCCCCTAAAAAGCCAAACAACTTTTTTTTTAGTCCTCCACATCTTACAAAAATAAAAGTGAAAATGTAATTGTAGTTCATTGTTATGATGTATTATGTTGTTTTTACAACTTAAGACTACAAAGGTAACAGAAATAATAGTATTTCTTACCTTAAATTGTGGGTGCTGGTGTTTGTTGATGAGTGTGAACAGAGTGGAGAGTTATGCTGTGGCACTACTGGGCTGAGGTGGATGGTATAGGTTCTGGTACTGAAGTTGATGGTTGTACTGGAGTGTCTAACTTTGTCATTCAATCAAGTGATTCAGTAAGTCAATCAAGTGATTCAGTAAGTCTCAAGTCTTTCAGTAAGTATCAAGTCATTCAGTAAGTCAGTCAAGTCATTCAGTAAGTCAGTCAAGTCATTCAGTAAGTCAGTCAAGTCATTCAGTAAGTCAGTCAAGTCATTCAGTAAGTCAGTCAAGTCATTCAGTAAGCCAGTCAGTTATTCAGTAAGTCAGTCAAGTTATTCAGTAAGTCAGCCAAGTCATTCAGTAAGTCAGTCAATGATACAATAAGTCCCAAGTCATTCAGTCAGTCAAGTCGTTCAGTAAGTCAGTCAAGTTAGTCAGTAAGTCATTCAGTAAGTCAGTCAAGTCGTTCAGTAAGTCAGTCAAGTGATGGTGGGGTGGTGTCGTGGGGTGGCTGGGGACGGCAGGAGGTCTCCCCAGGTGAACCACAAGGCGGCCGCTTGAGGAAAGGGAAGTTTTTTTTTTCCTTCCAGCAAACCGAGTGTTAAATTCATCATACGACGTGTTACTTAAAATTGTGCCGCAATTCTTCAATCGTGCTATACCCAAATCGTGCCAAATAAACTCGTGCTAAATGACGGTCTACTGTACTTTATATTGTCTCTCATGTATAGGTCACATAATATAACTAATCGTTTTCTTCACATTTTGGCGATATGTGCAGGTCATACATCTCTCCCATGTTCCTGCGTGAGCTGGAAGATCAGAGCGTCCGTGAGGGCTCCACCATTACCCTGCAGACAGTCATCGAGGCCTATCCGACCATCGGTGTCGTATGGTACGTCCCAGAGAACTTAGAGGTCAATGAAGTACACGCGGAGCGTAAATTTAGAGAAGGCGGGAGGGGGAAGAGGAGAATTGAGGGATGTTGACGGTGAAACTGAAGTAAAAGGAGGGTGTCGGAAACTGGGACAGAGAGAGAAAAGAAAGAGAAGAGTCTTCACGAAAAAGAGGCACAGGATCTCTCGCCTCATTGCAGTATCTTGTGTAGTCAGTAGACGTTCTTTCGTGTTGATAGGCACAAATGTGAGTGTATTCTTCATAATGATAGTTTGTGATGGTTGATTTAGAAATGATAGTTTGTGATGGTTGATTTAGATTTCTTAGTGCTTTGCATATTTTAGTATATACCTAGATTGAATGTTATGATTTGTGCCTGTCACTATGTCAGTAGTCTTCAGACATTGTATAATTCCTTTGCTGCTTACTATTTTTTTTTGTTTTTCTGTAAACTTTATTTTTAATATTCTTGTCTTATTAGTGTATTTCCCCTTACCCTTTTTTTTCATTTAAACAAATACTTATTTAGTCTCTTCATTTAAACAAGTACTTGAGTTCTCTATAATTTCTTTGTTATTTTTCTCCTGCATTCCAAAACTCCATTTTAGTAAGTTCTTAAAACAAACATGGGTGATTTACTGGTCACGACACTCACATTTTTTAACACCGATTGTCACGGCGTTGTTCCTTCTGTACACTCACTAGTGCTACCTCCTAGCCTGTGTAGCCTGGCCACAATGTGTTCTTTTCTTAGCACTGTATATCCTTGCTACTGTGTATTCTTTTCTTAGAACTGTATATCCTTGATACTATGTATCCTTGCCGAAATTCAAATACTTCTCAAACAAATTATCAGCATTCTTTTCATTCATTACTTATTTTCAGTTATACGTCACTTTTATCTTCATTCTTACTTTTTCTCATCTTACCTAAGATAAGGCTATCTCGTGAGCTGACAACCCGCTCTTGTTTCTAAATTACATTTTTAACTGTTTTCTTTAGCCATTACTTGCTTCTCTTCCTTCAGTTATCTAACCTCCGTTTTTTCTTCTTCCCCTTCCTATACCCCCCTCTGTTTTTACCACATCACCTTCATGCTGTGCTGTCCGGCTGGCGTTACTGCTGCTGTTTCTGCTGCACACTCCAAGGCATCGAGACGGACAGCGCATCAGGCCCACCCGCAAGCACTCCTTCAGTCTGGACGTAGACGGCTTGGCCACGCTGGTGATCCGCAACGCTGACTACACCGACGGCGGCATCTACACCTGTACCGCCAAGAACGAGATGGGCCACATTGAGTCACTGTGTCGGGTGTCTGTCTCCTGCACCGACTCTGATCTCGCTTCGCGCAAGAGAGTAGTGCCGCGGTAAGTATAATCTTCTCTTACCCGAGTTAAACTACACCTTCATAAACACTGTACTATATCATTTTGTTTACTAAAAGAAAAATTACTTTGGTTTGTAGACAAGACTTGTGCATCACTGTGCAGGTGATGCAGTGACAAGACAGTGCCGACTGTTCTCTTTCAGACTGACACAACCAGCTCATGACAACGTAAAGAGAGACTTGCTTCTTCCACTGATTTGCCTCTCTGCGCACATTGGGTGTAACATGCTTTAAACACTCATGGTCAGGGGTAGCAGTGTAGTACAAATAGGCGTAGTTCATTTCCCTAGTAAAAGTTTTACTCAAGTTTGCCACTATCACATCCACAAGTAGTTACTTGTAGCACTGTGTGAGACATGTTGCTTGTAGCACTTTCTGGTGAATAATAATAAGTTTGTATTTATTATAGATTTTAAATACAGTAATAACAATAGATACCCTCTCTCCACAGTCCCTCCGCCATCCACCCCTCTACAACCCCTTATTCAACCACAACCATAACCTGCTACCTCCACCTCAACCTACTACCCACAAAACAACGTGTTTTCAGATATTTGGGAGCTGACTTGTCAGTGGATGGGTTTATGAAGGATGACGTAAACCATAGAACTGATGAAGAAAAAAAGGTGCGTTGAGGTATCTGTGGAGACAAAGAACGTTATCCATGGAGGCAAAGAAGGAAATGTACGAGAGTATAGTGGTACTAACACTTTTATATGGGTGTGAAGCTTGGGTTGTAAATGTTGCAGCGAGGAGGCTGGAGACAGTGGAGATGTGTCTAAGGGCAATGTGTGGTGTAAATATTATGCAGAGAATTCATAGTGTGGAAATTAGGAGGAGGTGTGAAGTTATTAAAAGTATTATTCAGAGGGCTGAAGAGGGGCTGTTGAGGTGGTTTGGTCATTTAGATAGAATGGAACAAAGTATAAAGCGTATAAATCTGTAGGGGAAGGAAGGCGGGGTAGGGGTCGTCCTCGAAAAGGTTGGAGGGAGGGGGTAAAGGAGGTTTTGTGGGCCATGGGCTTGGACTTCCAGCAAGCGTGCGTGAGTGTGTTACATAGGAGTGAATGGAAACGAATGGTTTTTGGGACCTGACGAGATGATGGAGTGTGAGTAGGGTAATATTTTGTGAAGGGATTCAGTGAAACCGGTTAGCCTGATTTGAGTCCTGGAAATGGAAAGTACAATGCCTGCACTTTTAAGGAGGGATTTGGGATATTGGCAGTTTGGAGGGATATCTAAACGGTCGTATCTGAGTGCCTCTGTGAAGACAGTGATTATGTATGAGTGATCGTGAAAGTGTTGAATGATAAAACTTTTTTCTTTCTTTTTGGGTCACCTTGCCTCGGTGGGAAACGGCTGACGTGTTACTATATATATATATATATATATATATATATATATATAAAATATATATATATATATATATATATATATATATATATATATATATATAAAGTTGTTACATGTACATTGTATGTGGCAGTATTATTGGCTCACATAAAGACTAGTTAGAGCACGCAGTTACCTCTCTACTTATTAAAAAAATTGATTGGCTTCATAGTTTCAAAGGCAAAACGATGTTGACGAGTATTTTTACAAAGACCTAAACGAGCAAGCCTTTCTTCAGGTATCCCCCGACGGGGCTTACAAATAATAAATGTGGGAATTCTTTTTGTTTCTTCCATTGTTTTCGTCCATAACTCGAGAAGGCATCTTCTGATCAGCCTCAAACATGTATCACTCATGTACATATATACCACGAGGAAGGTTTAGAGTGTTATTGGGCTGTACAGGTGACTGTTTTGTTAATTTTAGAGAGCCAATTATGATACCGGTTTGTGTACGACAACCTGAGAAATCCTCTTCTGATGGACTTCATTGTTTCAAAGTCTGTGTTTCTTGTTTAGGGGAAAGTTCACATTTTATTTCTAGTGTGTTGGTGCCACTTTACACACCAATAAACCAGCACACTGTGTTGTGCTGGTTTCCTGCAGCAAGTTAAGAATGTCTCTTAACTCTTAACATCCATAGCTCTCCAGTTTTTCTAACATAATTAAAAAGTAATAACCTGATTTCCCTTATTTAGGTGGCGATTACCTGTTATCTGCTTCAGAGATTTAATAAAGCTGTATTATTTTCGCAGGTAGATTCGTAATGTTATTTAGCTGTGAGCCCCAGTGTGGCAATTTTATTAAACAATTGTGATTTTTGCTTCTGCGCGATAACCTGAGAATTCCTGTTTTGACCGGCTTCAAACTTTTATCGCTGATGTGAATTATTTAGAGTCAGATTTGGATTGGTTTTACGCTGTGTAGGTTCCAGTTTATTGATTTTAATAAACTAAGTTGTGATGTTGGTTTTGCTGTAATTACGTACCTGATAATGTTCTTTTCATATCGGCTTCAAACTTTCATTGCTGATGTGTTTGCTTAGACGACATTCTTTTGTTGCCAAATTTATTCATAAAAATTTAGGGTATCATGCCTGCTGGAGGTCTAATAAATTTTGATAGCAAGCTGAGAAATTAAAGAGAGCTTTATACTATTTTAAAGCTACGCCATATAATTTTTTACTCAATTCCCTTTAGCAGATTAGGGGAAAATACTTATCTAAAACTTAAAAGGAACTAAAAATTAACAGCTAAAAAACTATGAAATGTTTTACAATGCTATACTCTGGCATATACCCTGACATAGCACACTAATTAGTTTGGGTTTTATAAACTTCACTCTATTTCTTTAAGTGTTATAACAGAGAGACCAACCCTTTCCCTCCATGAAAATCAATCTCCCATGGCTAAAATCATCTACTTAGTGTGCAGAACTCTACGGACGTCGCCTGTCATGTTTCGGCAAGTGCTTCCTCCTGTATTTACACTATTTGCCTAGGTTCAGCTCTAGCTCTTGGGTTTTTTGAAAGTGCTGATCTACATTGCCTCATTAAAAACATGTTCTGCAACGTGTTTTCTTCTGTAGCTCCATCTTCTACTAATACAAGTCTCACTTCATTGTTATGCACAGGATGATTGTGAGTTAACAATACTGGTAGTAACCGGACGTTTAGTGTTGCATTTAGTGGAAGGTGGTCAGACACATATTGAAATCCAAGGAGGAGGGGGAGCAGGTGATGTTTGCCAGAGAAAAGAGCAAAAGGAGCATTGTTTACCGGAGAGAGGAAGTGAGACTGTGGAAGGTCAGGGAGGAGAGTGTGGGGCAGAGAGAAGGGGTAAGGTGGGTGTGCTAGGCACTCCGGGAAGAGGGGGAGAGTATTGGAAGGTGAAGGAGTGCCGAGGAAATGACACCACGAGCTGATGATGTTATGTCAGTGTTAGCAAGACCACGAGCTGATGATGTTATGTCAGTGTTAGCAAGGTCAGAGAATGGAAAAGGTGTATTAGAAATGTCATGAATGAAACAGGTGTTCTAGAAGAGGTCAAGGAATGGAAAAGGTATGTCAGGAAGGTCGGCGAATGGAACAAGTGTGTTCGGAATATTAGGGAATGACGCGAGTGTGATATGAATGTGGAGGAAATGACAGTGATAGGAAGGGCAGGGAATGGAAGTGTGTCTCTGATGGTCAGATTTACATTTTTTAGAGTTCGCCACCGAAGTGGCTGGTTTATTGTGCATCCCATATTCATCCTGTGGACGGTAGCGCAAGAGCATATGGATATACAAAAGGCCTAGGAACTAGCACCCTAAAGGGTTAACAGGAGTACATTTGTATTTATATCTATAGTTCACTTACCTGTTACAAGTAAATTTGCTTAATATATTTGGTATCTTAATTTCATTAATAACATATCAGATAGTGGTCGGAGCATGAGTGGAGATGCATAAATTGTCAGGGTGAGTGTGTGAAACAGCTGAAGGCCTCTGTCAGATGACCAAAAGCTGCAGCTGCGAGTCATCATATGAATAAGAACTGTGTCAGGAAACACTAGTCCTGTTTTCTGACAAACCTAACCTAACCCCTGTGTGAAACAGTAGTGGAACAGAGAGCCTGCAGTGAGAGGGTAACGAAGGGTGAGGGAAGAGAGGGTAAGTGAGGCAATAAGGGGAAAGGAGGGACGGGGTAGAGAGGGAAACACTGAAACAATGCACTGGTGATAATGTTGTATGTGACTGGTGCGTGGTTGTGTACATACACAGCTGACTACCACCAATGTGACTGGTACGTGGTTGCGTACATCCACAGCTGACTACCACCAAGGTGACTGGTGCGTGGTTGTGTACATAAAAAACTGACTACAACCAGTATGACTGGTGCGTGGTTGTGTACATACACAACTGACTACAACCAGTATGACTGGTGCGTGGTTGTGTACATACACAACTGACTACAACCAATATGACTTGTGCGTGGTTGTGTACATGCACAACTGACTACAACCAGTATGACTGGTGCGTGGTTGTGTACATACACAACTGACTACAACCAGTATGACTGGTGCGTGGTTGTGTACATACACAACTGACTACAACCAATATGACTGCTGCGTGGTTGTGTATGTATACAACTGACTACAACCAATATGACTGGTGCGTGGTTGTGTACATACACAACTGACTACAACCAATAAGACTGGTGCGTGGTTGTGTACGTACAACTGACTACAAACCATACCCCCGGCCGGGATTGAACCCGCGGTCATAGAGTCTCAAAACTCCAGCCCGTCGCGTTAGCCACTGGACCAGCTAGCCACAATAAGATTCATCCTACTAGGTATATTTCTACACCATAGGAAGGTTAGCACAGGCACCTCTGTGACCACAAATGCAAGTTTTTACAGACGAATCTCCAGCTAGCGTGGCCGTGACGAACTCTAGCTCAAGTCCCTTCACTGCAATCGTGTAATTACGATTTCTTGAGTCAACTGACTACAACCAATATGACTGGTGCGTGGTTGTGTACATACACAACTGACTGCAACCAATATGACTGGTGCGTGGTTGTGTACTTACACAACTGACTACA